CCACATTAACATGGGATTGACTTGTAGATGAAGCCCCCTTAAATAGGATGGCCACTATGACAGTTCCAGAGACGACCAACTAAGGTCAAAAGCTCCACAGCTTGACTCGAATGAGCTCCTGCTCTACGCTGCACCTCCAGGCCAGTTCTGTCTTAAGATGAGAAGGGCTGGGTGTGGTTCTGTTGGCAAAGAGTACAGAAGGTGGTCCCAGCTCTCCTGGTAAACATCTAACAGTAATCAAATTGGAGACAGCGTTGTCTCCTTTGTCATTCTCTGCACAGAGACAGTCCACTCTCTCCTCCGAGAGTGCTCTCTGCTTAAGCTTCACCTTGCTTTTACTTTACTTTTACTTACAACAAAGTTCTCTTGCACAGTTTTTGGTGTCTGACTTTAGATTTTCTTTCGTTGGAACACAAGAACTGAGGTTTGGAGTTTCAGCTCCCTGCTTTCCTGGGACAAGATGGCCCCCGAAGCCTAAAACATTTGCTACTCCATGGAACAAATGTGCCAACCTCCTGACCTGGACTTAAGAAAACACTAAAGAAGGAGTCGGGACTCCGCATCCATGCAGGGCCAACAGCAGCTGCAGCCCGGCGCCTGGTCTCCTAGCCCGAGAGTGTCACCACACCCCAGGAGAGAGTAAGGGTCTTCAAAATGACAACTCTGGAGAATTGTAGGTTCTCTACAAATTATAAAAACAGAAGAAAATTTTCAAAACAAAATTGTATTGAGGGGCCAGGGTTGTGGCTCAGTGGTAGAGCACTTGCTTAGCATGTCTGAGGCACTGGGTTTTTGATCCCTGGCACCACATAAAATAAGCAAATAAAATAAAGTTATTGTGTCCATCTACAACTAATATATATATAATTGTATTGTATTGAAATGTCTACCACTAACTGATACTACTGACTTTAAAAACAAGAATAATAAAACACTTTGAGAAGATTGTATTTATGGTAAAAGGAAACTGGACTAACAATGAGGCCAAAGACTTTTCCTGCCACAACTCATTCTGGGAATAGCTGGCAGTGGCTACTAGAGATCCACGAGGAATTAAAGCAGCCATCCAAGTCTTCGACTCAGGGGCTGCCCGTGGGACCAAACAGTGACACTTCCTTGGATGACAAAGTCCTGGGAAGCAAAGATGCCACCGGGCAGCAGCAGATGAGAGGCCCTCCACCCCCAAAGTTTGGACCTTAATAGAAAACCTTAACAGGGAAATTAGATATTCCCTGTTGCCTTCTGCCAATGAATCAGGCACTTCTGCAGCTGTAGAAGTAAACCCGCAAATGCTGCAGGAATTAGTGAGTGCAGGATGTGACCAGGTAGGCACAGACCTCCTCTGGCTTCCTGTGGGGGTGGTTACAGTGAGGAGCCCACTTCAAGGATGTTAGGGGCGACTAGAATCCTTTGGCAGCTAATCAAAGGCTTTGAATTGGTTACTGATCACAGAAGTGTCTCTAGCTTAAAACTCCAAAGCTCTTTTATGCACCATTGAACTGTTCTCTACCTTGTCTCCAAAATAGTCCTTAGATGCTTTTTCTTTTGGGGCAAGATCCAGAAGTTTCTGAATTCTCCCAAAATTGTTCCACATGTACTTTCTGTTCTCTCTTTTATGGTACTGGGGATCAAACCCAGGGCCTTGTGCATGCTAAGCATGTGCTTTACTACTAAGCTATACCTCCAGGCCAGTTCTGCTCTTAAAGTGAGAAGGGGTGGGTGTGGTTCGAATGCCTATAATCCCAGCCGCTTGGGAGGCCAAAATAGGAGAATCAAGGAGAGTTCAAGGCCAGCCTTAGAAATTTAGCAAG